TTGTTCGGGACTTCGCCAAGCTGCCTGCACCGCTGACGAACCTCACGAAGGACGCCGTGAAGTTTGAGTTGACAGAAGAACACCAGCGGTCATTCGTTGAGCTCAAACGAAGACTTCACACGACCCTGATTCTTGGCAATTTCGACCAATTCGCTGAAATAGAGATCCACACGGACGCCAGTAACACAGGACATGGCGCGGTACTAGTCCAAATGCAAGACAGGGCAGAGCGAGTCATCGCATACGCGAGTCCGATGCTGTCTAAGGCGCAGAGGAACTACTCAACAACTGAAAAGGAGTGCCTTGCTGTCGTCTGGGCAATAACAAAGTTTCGCCCATACCTGTATGGAAGTCCTTTTCGCGTGGTCACGGACCACCACTCGCTCTGCTGGCTCGCGAATCTGAAAGACCCCTCCGGAAGCCTCGCCCGGTGGAGCCTACGACTGTAGGAGTTCGACATGACCGTGGTGTACAAGTCCCGCCGGAAGCACAGTGATGCCGACTGCTTGTCAAGGGCCCCAGTCGAGGCCGGTACTGCCTGCATCGAAGACGATGACGATGGGTGTTTCCTCGGCGCTCTGGATGTCAGCGACATGGCAGCACTCCAACGAGACGACCCTGAACTGCGAGCGCTCATCGAGCACCTAGAGGGAAAAGCGAGTACGGTTCCCCGTGATTTCTTACGAATCGTGCCTACCTTCTCCACATGGCAAGGGATGCTGTACAAAGAAAATTTCGTCAACAACGACACAACATGGCTCTTTGGTTATTCCTTCCAGTTTTCGAGAAGAAATTTTCCAAGGATGCCATGACGACCCAACGGTTGGACACCTTGGCTACAGCAAAACGCTCGCCAGGATTCGAGAAAAGTACTACTCGCCAAGGCTACCGAAGACCGTTCACCTCTACACTCGATCATGCCACGAGTGTCAGAGACGCAAAAAACCCCAGACGAAGCCGTCAGGACTTCTGCATCCGATTTCCCCCCGTCCACGCCGTTCCAGCAGGTCGGAATGGATTTACTTGACCCTTTTCCGCTGTCAACGTCGGGAAACCTGTGGATAATCGTCACCACAGATTATCGCGCTCGGTACGCCGAGACGAAAGCCCTTCCATTAGGTACGGCTGTTGAAGTCGCCAAGTTTTTCATCGAGTCCATTGTCCTCCGACACGGCGTCCCCGAAGTCCTCATTACCGACCGTGGATCACCGTTCATGACCCAGCTGATGCAAGAGATCCTTCGTCCTAGTGGCACTGTCCACCGTCGAACCACTGCGTTCTATCCGCAGACACATGGACATGTTCTATCCGCAGACACATAACTGCTAAACAAAACTATCGCCGACATGGTCTCCATGTATGTCGAGGTAGAGCACGAGACTTGGGACGAGGTGTTACCCTAAGTCACGTTTGCAAGAGACCACAGGACTAACTCCGTTTCAGCTGGTGCATGGCAGGAAAGTAAGGACCATGCTCGACGCGATGCTACCCCACGAACCAGCTGACGATGGAAGCCCCGACGCCCAGGTGATTGCTCAAAGAACCGAAGTTAGCCAGCTCGCCCGACTTCAAATTCAAGATCAACAACGGGTTGACGCTACCCGGTACAACCTTCGTCGTAGGGATGTCCACTTCCAGCCCGGAGACAGGGTATGGGTCTGGACACCGATTCGCCGCCGTGGTGTAAGCGAGAAACTTCTGAAACGATATTTCGGACCCTTCTAGGTACTTCGTCAACTTGGATATCTGAACTACGAGGTGATGCCCGACGGAACAGGAACTTCATCACGCCACCCACCACGACCTGAAGTCGGCCACGTAGTGCGCCTGAAGCCGTACTACGCTCGATAGGACTGTGGGCCTTATGTGTTCCAAATGACTCTTTAGTTTACCGTTATTTTTATTTGCTTTGCTTTGTTTTGTGTTGCATCGGGGTGATGCACTTTTTAAAGGGGTGAGTAATGCCGCGCGCGCGGCTGGCCAAGTAGGGAGCGCGCGTGGCCTAACGGTTATAGTGCCTGCCTTCCCTCGAAAAGGCAGGGTTCGATTGCTGGGAGCGATGCATCTTTTGTTATTCCTGAAATTTAGTGTTTTGGTAAATTCGAGGATCCTGTTGCTTGTTCGAGGTCCGAATGTTTTACACGTCGAACCTTCTACGCCTATTATTCCAGTAGCCCTCGCATGTACAGAAGGGGCTCCGCGTGGCGAGCCGCAGTCAGTCTTGCCAAAGCGCTCGATCGTGCTTGTTTCACCGACATCGACGCCTGCGACGCTAGCCTTTCTCTACTTTTGTTTTGGGCACAAGTTCGCCCCATCAAACGTTTAGTTTCTTCATTTATTCGACGCCTCATCATTTGTCATCCGTGACAATATGTTCCTATGTATCTTATATGGTTCTTGTATTATTCTTATATGATTCGTATATGTTCTTATATGCCTTGTATGATTCAGATGTGTTTATTGGGCACAAAAATTTCTCATACAAATGAGATCTTTCAATAGGGGAGTTTCGAAGCTGTAGTTAGCGTTACAAGATAAAAACTAATATAGGGTCATTTACTGAAAGTTCGGCGGGTGGTACATTTGGAAACGCTCTTACTTTGACGCAATAGCGATTTCATCTCAAATCGTGCAGGAAAACGGGCCATGTCGCGCCGCACAGATCAACAAGACTAAACCGCTTTGAAGAAATAGGCCCATAGTTTGCCAGAGCCAAACTTTTTGTCAAAAAATCCTTTTTTCTCCCAAACACAAATCGAGCAGTGGAACTGCTTGCCATCATTGCTTATTGAAAGCACAAATGTTGAAGCATTTCAGCGTTTACTTGTGTCACAGTTGTTGTAACGCTGTCCTCCTTAGGCAGCTCTGCTACCTACAGTACCTGTAAATAGAATGTCTCGAAACCGATTATAATATGTATATATGCCATGAAAATGTTTCAGTGGGATGAAACTGAAAGCCATTTATGCATCATATTTTTAGTTTTTCAATTTTTTGAGTTCTCAAGGATCAAAGAACCATTTTGGAATTTGGATGATCGTCAGAAATCGCGTATTTGGGAGGTTCTCCAGGCTGCCATACCTTCTGCAAAACAAAATCTATTTCCGTAACATCTTAAACGCAAAATGTAAAACAAGTTTTATTTAATATATTTTGTAAAATATCCAGAACATGCCTCTTTGACGGTAATGCACCAGGCTTAGACGATGATAACATTTGTAAGAACCGACTACAGATGCCTATTCAACAAGTACAATATTGTCATAATCATTAAAGTTATCGATGAAAAACCCCTTTGAATACAAAAGAAAACTTTTAAAGTACAAATTTCAACATAATTTTTTTCGAAAAGACTATTTTGAACCATGTTAGTGTTTCTCGCTTGAAGAGCCCTCGGTATTATTTAAAACATACAATAAAAAATCCTATACAGTTTATGCTATGCACTTATAGATCCGCCCATTCAGAAAAGTGAAATGTTTCAAGCGCTATTTTTAGATGCGAAGCTTTGTCATCGTCTTTTGTATCCTTATAATTAATTCTTGGCACTTTGTTAGTCTATTCGTTGGCTTCGATTTAATGCTCAATGAAATAAAGTAAGGCTGATCCGTAGAGTAGATATTATGTTTAATATAGGAGGCTTTTCCTACACTTCTTCAGTTTATTAACTTAAAAAACGTCTGAAATCACAATTAAATGTGTTCCTTAAATTTTCTCATTAGAATTTAAAGTTTATATATACTTCCATCTAAACGTTTTATGTGGAATGAATGAGTAATTGGGTGAAACAAAATATTTTCGAGGGGGCTAACATCCCTAGCACGAAGTTTTAGCTTTTTCCAACTCTCGCTTCTTCACGCACACTAAGCCTTGTAAGTAGGTAGGCTTATTTAAAACGACTGATATTCGTTTCGTTTTTTTTTTTCTTTAGAAGGATAAAGCTTTTAAGGCCGTGGGAAAGTACGTGCAATTATATAGAATATCTGGTAACGCAAGTTCACGAGAACGTGTAATGTGATTGAAAAGCATCGTTAAAGCGGGTTACGACATTCCTCTCGGTGCTTAGCTATTTGTTTAACATAGCAGTGAGAAAACCGTCCTCGTCTCAAGTTTTCGTCCATAAGTGGCATGACCGAATGTTTTTTTAGAAACTTGCAATATTTCGTGTTTTGTTTTCTTATACATCGCGGTAGTTAGTACTACGTGTTGTGACGGCATGCGGGAAGTGCCAGGTGCGTGCCATGGCGTCTGGAGGCCACTAAGCATCATGCCTCTTTGCACAACCGCAGATCGTCAGAACTTAGAACAACTCGGCGTACTCTCTGAACGAAATCATAGTTCTGGACGAAATCTGGGCGACTATCTGGACGAAATCAGATTTCGTCCAGATAGTCGCCCCTGAAGCCTGAAATTATTTTTCCGGAAAGTAATGGAGCACATCTGGCCTATACTGCGACAAGAAAACAAAAAAAGCAGAACGCTCCTAGTCCTACCAATAGCATTTGGTACCCAACTTCTGGACGAAAACTCGAAATAAGGCCCCAGTTTTATGTTAAAATAATTTGCTAAGCCTTAAGAGTGAACCTTCAACCCGTTTTAACATCGGTTTGTGGTAAAAATAACCGTTATTGTGAAATTGAGTTATTAGGTATTTTATGTAATTGTATCTCCAGCGTTTTTTAAAACTAAACCAGCCACCCGGTTACCCAAATATTGATCAGTTGCCGGCTACTTGTAGCTAAAGTGGTCACTGCAGTAGCTCGAATGTCTTCACCCGAAACTACACCACGTAGTGGAACCGGAAGGTCCAGGAATAGCACAAAAACGGAGCGAAAGAGACCATTTTTTAACGACGATAAGTTTGGGGAACACTGTACTTCCCCGCAGTCTATGCGATATTTTGTTAGTTCTAAAGATTTCATGCTTCGATTTCATGCTTCGATCAATTTTTTCCAATAGCAGAACAATTCAATACATATATATATATATTTTTATCGCAGGGCTATTTCGAATGCCTCTGGTCTGAAGTCTTCGACAAGGGAATCAACGTCACCATGGTCTGTCCCGGCCCAGTTGCCACACCCATTAGGCAGAACTGTTTCAGTGGCACCCTGGACAAGACCGAGTGCTTCAAACCTTCCGCCAATCAGCGCAAGATGACCGCTGCTCGGGCAGGTCAGCTGATCGTCACCGCTATCGCCAATAAGCTGGACGAGATCTGGATTGGCCCGCAGCCATTCGTCCTCTACATGTACCTGGCGCAGTACTTTCCAACAATTTACAGAAAGTAAGTGGTACACGTCATCTTCGATTTCACTATGGCGCCTGGGACACGTCTCCGACTGTTGCGTTTACCGCGTCCTAAAAAGTGGTCCCTCGATTTCCGCCTGATGACGTCATAGAAGGGTCATGCTGTCGCCGGCCGCGATCCTAGCGATGTCACAGCAGCGGTGGATCGATGGATGATATTGGCTATGCCCTATGTAACGGGCGGTAGCTTGCGCCACCTAGCTATCTGACAGTCCACGGCCGCTTCAGCAGCCATGAGCTCAGACTTCGCGACTATGACGATACTCGCGTTCTCTGGTTCTTTTTGTCGAGACTTTTGGCGCCAACCACGAGAATTACCTCATCCGACATCGTCACACCCTAATTTCGCTGCTAAATAGAGTACGAAGCTGTAGGAAGGACTGGTAGAATAACTCTTAAAAGGTACCCACATACAGGGTGTTATTTTTTTAGCTGCACCAAATTTGTAAATTAAGGGGGAAGCAGGTATATGAATGTGGTCTTCGCAATGTGTTCATACGACTCGGCAGACAGATGGGAATATAAACATTACTATTATCAGGCTAATTAACTCTAATTCGTAATGAACTTTTCAGTCACTCTAATTAGGATATCTGCTTTTATTGCAAATCTTGAGGCGGTCGCATGCCGAGACTTTTATTTTGTGGAATTCGCGTAACCAGCTCGTGTTCATCGATATTCGTCCTTGAATTTAGCACTTTTATCCGTGTAATGTAGCCAAGTTCGGCTATAGTGCCCACTTTCGCGGGTTTGCGGGATTGAGTAGAAAATAGGTGGGATTAAGGAGAAAATTCGGGGGCAGCTTATCTCGAAACACTGGCTCGTTACTGGAATTCTACAAAATGGAACAGTTTTGGCATACGTCCGTTACAAAGTTTTTATTATAAACATATATCCTAATTGTAGAGTCCCCGGGTGTGGGGACAGGTGTCCAAAGCAACCAGTCCAGTCGGAGCTCTCAGGAAGACTGCTTTATGTCACGAGACATTCCCATTATATCACAGAAAACAAGGAAAAGGAAGAATGATGATAGCGTGATAGACAGGACAATACAGAGACGAAAAGGAAGTGATAACGAAACATGATGAACACAACACTAATCACAGTAATTAAAAAGTTAATAAACAATTTTTAGTGAACTAGTCTGATAATAGGGATGGTTATACTCCCATCTAATGCTCATCGAGCCATTTAAAAGGGTGGAAACAGCATTCTTTTACGACTCTTCCTCTCTTTACTTAACAATTTCGTGCAGCTAGAAAAACCTGTATAGCGTGAGACTGATAGCCAAAGATTTTCGAAAAGCAATTAGTCTCTTCAAGGCAAGCTAAGTGTAAGAAAAGCAGTATTTGCCGCTAAAGTTGGGAGGCACAAAATGTGTAGCGTGTTTGGAGCTGCGCTTGGTTAGCCCGACATGGACACAAATTTAGCGTGATAAATTTAATGGTGTCTCAAGTGACTAGGCGCCAGGCGACACCGTAACTGCCGTAGGATAATTCGATACCACGACGTCACTTGACAGCGTCGTAATGTGACCTGACGTCATATGGCGTGGTCTCGGGGTTGGGGTTACATGATTGCGTCACGTGACGTCAGGTCACGTGACTACCGTCTGCTCAATTTCCGTTTAATTAAGCGAGACATTAATCTGCTAAATGTGGCGGCGTGCCGTACTTTTTTTACGCACTTCTTGAGGACATTTTTGAATGAAGAGTTCACTCTAAGTACCTTAGATGTAAAGTTTGCCACGAAACTCTGAACCTACTTAACACAAAGGCGACTGTGAGACGTTTGAGCGGCGTCTTGGCAAGTTCTGTGAGACGTTCTGTAGACAGTTGGCACGCACAAGCGTCCAGGCTATCAGCGATTATTTTATGCATGTATCAATATACACGGATTTTTACACGGATCTATTAAGCACGGGCTTCCATCAAAACGCATGCCGACCGTATGGCTGTCTGTGTTGTCTCAGCGGTATGGCAATATAGACAGGGGAGGCATCTCTCGGAAACATTCGTTATTTTGTAGCAGTATATTCAAAACAAAGTAAAGGATAAAAAAAAAAGAAGATCCAAATCGAAATTTAAATCAGGATTTAAATCAGAGATTTAAATCTGGATTAAAATTACAATAGTTTTAGAGAGATGATCTAAATCAAACATTTCTCTCACAAACAATTTTAAAAGTATTGATTTCACACACTAAAAGAAAGGGGTATGTTATTACACCCCTTGTCACATAGAATACACAGCGAAATTTCATTTCGACGAACAACGCATTGACGTTGAACAGGCGGTACCAACTTTGACGAGCGGCTTGAGAGCCGAGTTGTACAACTTATTAAAATAAGTAATGTACGCGTGACCAACGGCGTAGACTTTCCATTTTCCCGGGGGGAGCGCTGCGCGTTACCTTTTCGCCAGAACTGGAGATTGAAGCTAACGAAGGCACGCTGGGATTCCATTTCCCATGTATTTTGTCAATAAAGGCAACGTGCTGCGTTATTTTGTTTACATGCCACTACTAGGAAGCTCGTTACTTGGCACATAAATGGCGTCTCGGTAAGGATCATAGCCCGGGCCAAAAGAGGGGGGGCTCTGCCCCCCCTTCTAGATTTTACCAGGGGGGCACGAGTCCCGATGCCCGCTCCCCCCCCCCTCCCCCCCCCCCTCCCCCCCGAAGTCTACGCCTATGCGCGTGACTGACTGCTAAAAAGTAATCGGGGTATTCTTGGCTCTACTGCAAAAGCCCTGTGATTTTTTCAGCAGTCTTTGGTAAGTACTTAGCCGTTAATATGCTATAACACACCGTCATCAAGCGTCTCGTTAAAGTTGGAGGTGTCATTTCGGCGACAGTGCTCTGTACGTCGAACTAAAGTTTTGGGGTGTATTATATGGAACAAGGGGCGTAATGGCTAGACCCTTTTTTTTAGAGAGTACTTTCATTCGTCTCTCATTTCGTGATTACTAAGGGCATCTGTAATGGCTAGACCTTTTTTTAGAAAGTACTTTCACTTTCTCTCATTTGATGATTACTATGGGGATTTGTTTTTATATTAACCATATAATCATCAAGCAACGAAGAGTGTAGCAACCTGAACACGAGTAGAAAGCAGCGGTCTCATGAGCAAATCTGAAGGTTGGTTTTTTTAAACCTTCCCTGGTGTTGGTCAGTTACGTGGTTTTGTTACAAACAAAACACAACCCGAAGGAAAGAAACGAGAAAAAGAAAAGTAATGCCATATTGCAAGTAAATCAAAACTTAAAGAGTGCTATAAAACTTTACTAACCTAAAAAAAAAAAAAGAAACAGTGAAGCTGCTTTTAGTATGGTAATATTTAAAATTTACATGTATAAATGTTATTAAATAAAGTGTACTTTAAATGTACAGCAGTTCCTTCGTCTGCTGTCTTTTCAATAATCTGGTGATCTGGTCAATCTGCTGAAAACATTGCTTGATATGAACGAATTTTGTAATGACGACGTGGACCATACCTTTATTTGTAGCCTATACTCTGTCGTGTTATACGCCCAGTTTTTCTTTTTTTCATGCTATAAAAAAAAGTGCCTGTGGCCTTGTGGCGCAGAGCGTCTGTCACGGCTACTGGAGATGGTGAGTTCGAAGCCCACCGCAGGACACTCGCCATCTAAATGGGTACACACGTCCCACATCCCCGGAGCTCGGGGCATTACAGGGGATGACGTTTGGGATAAGCACCGCAAACCACGCTAAACCTGACATCCGAAGTGGGGACATGAACCGTCTCTTACCTGAAGGCATCAACTGCTCTCGTCTTAGAAGAGAAGCGAAGCTGGAAGGGCTTTAAGGCGCCTTGTGATGGTTGGGAGGCTGAAAAGTTTTAACACTTTCAGAATTTTTGTTGATGTGATGTCTTGTCGTGGCCTGTCCTTTCCTTCGGCCTCCTTTTATCCAGATAAATACCTAGGTAATCCAGTCTCTACAGAGTCAGTTCATATTATAGGTCACTGAAGACGATCTGGCCACATAGCCAATTTGACTAGTTTGCGCCCGTGTCGATAAAAGATTACGATGACAGGCGCTGATATTAAAAGCAGATTCAGTGCCTTTCACATGTAGCGTTTCAATCATTCCGAAATATTATGATACGTAGCTCTTAAGTATAGATAACGTCTGCAATCGTCCATCTCTTCGAATGATCCGCGGGGTTTTAGAAAAGAGTAGACGCATCCAGCGACTTCGTCCGCGCTGACTTCTACTAGCACGTCAATAGACCCTTCGCAAATATCCCAAAAGCCTGCGCTTGTTTCGCGACAAATTATGGGAGTCCTCGGGCGAGGCGCCTCATGTAGTACTTAACAGGTAGCGCTGACGCTCGATTCCGGAGCACTTCTGACAGCGAAGCCCACGCCAAGCGGGGCTGTTTGCGATCTTAGCGGTTCATTAGTGTGGCTTATGTATGCTCTATGGGTGTTGCAACGTCTATGCATTAATGTTTAAGTCTTACTTGGGCAATGTCAAGAAAACCGGGGTACCCTACTTGTATCCTTGCGCGTAGCGATGCTCATCCGTCTCTTTTACTCTTCGTTTTTATTGTTTCGCGACAAGCCTCGAACCTATATGGATAATCACAATGCCTTGCAATTGATATTCACGAAAACAAATCGTGAAAACGACCATTGACACCACAGAAACCACTTAAGTACGTTTTGGTTTAGGTTCATAATCACAACCATGGCTGCTGGAGGTAGCTGCCTGTAGTGTTTAAAGAAAAGAAAGACGAAGCAGAAATGAGATGATAAAGGAAGAAGACGATGAAAAGGCGTACAACTGAATCGGCGTTCCTTCATCTTACATTCAACTTCACTACATACACTACATTTGGCGACGAGGTAAAGTGGATTTCAACTTACTGATCTTGCAGCGCATACTATGTGGACCTAGAAATGAGTCACGCAACGCTGCCGCCGCTTCCTTCGTTTCTTGAACGGCCTGGAAGACCCCCGGTTCCGTGGGACCAATGGCGCCGAATGTTCGAGAACTACCTTGACTGCGTCGAAGAGTCTTCCCTTACGCCGAAGCGAAAGAAGGCACTGCTGCTACATGCCTTAGGAACGGAAGGACAGCGAGTCTTCTTCACGTTGCCTCACGTCTCTGCTGCTTCCCCTAGCACAGTTCCTACCGCAACCGCGTCCACGTCAAGTGTTACTACTACCACTGACGTGTACCAAGATGCTCTCGCGACTCTGGAGGCCCGCTACGCAGCGACGTACAACGTTATCACAGAACGCCGCAAGTTTCGCCAGCGTACACAAATTCCTGGTGAAACGATTGACGAATTCCTCACGGCATTACGAGGACTTTCGCAGACCTGCAGCTTCGGCTCCGCATCGGACGAAGCGCTACGTGATCAACTGGTAGAGGGAGCTTCGATGACTCACGTTCGAGAACGACTCCTACTAGAAGGTTCTGCCCTTTCCCTCGAAAAGGCTTTGAACTTGGCCCGCAGCGTGGAACAGTCCAAGAAAGAAGTACAGTCATCCACTGACCCGCCTGCGGTCGTCCACAAACTACGAAAAACCAAGGGAAAGAGCTCGAAGTCCAAAATTCAGCCAGGCGTTGACGCACCAGCCAGACAGCAGAGAACATGCTACCGCTGTGGATCAGCAGATCACTTAGCAAATGCTGCTACATGTCCCGCAAGGAGCAAGACTTGCACCAAATGCAGAAAACAAGGACATCTGGGCTCTGTTTGTCGGGGTACGGCGTCAACAATGGAGGTGGTGAGTTCTTTCACCACTACTAATGAAGACTTCAGTTCTCTTGAAAAGGAAAAAGAACGTGACCCAGTTACAAAAGTGCTGGAAGTTGGAGAAGTGCACAAAGCTGGAATCTATGTGACAATGCAAGTAGAACAACAAGATGTCAAGTTCCTACTTGACACTGGTTCTGCAGTTTCCATTCTCTCCCATGAAATCTACCAGAGCAAATTTGCGGACAAACATCTACTCCAACCAGCTGCAGTACAACTACAAAATTACTCAAGGCAGCGCATTCCGCTTCTTGGATGTTTGGAGGCAACAGTCACGTACAAAGGGTCCTCAGCATCACTTGTGCTTTACGTCGTCTCACAAGGATCAACATTGCTGGGACTGGACGGACTTTCCGCACTTCGACTTCGCATTGACGGATCTACCCTGCAGTGCATGGAGACCTCTACACCGATCTCTACGGACTTGAAATCTATCATCGACTCTACCTACGCTCACCTGTTCACACCAGGAATAGGCATGGCAAAAGGTTACGAGCATCTAGTCAAGGTGAAGAGAGACGTTCCTCCTGTTGCAGTAAAGCTCCGTCGACTGCCACTTACCATTCGTGAAGAAGTGTCTAAAGAGCTTCTGCGTTTACTCGATATGGACATTATCGAGCCAGTCACCGCATCTGAATGGGTATCACCCATTGTTGTTGTAAGAAAAAAAGACGGAAAGCTACGACTATGCGTGGATCTTCGTGCTCCCAACAAAGCAATTGTCGTCGACTGCTTTCCATTACCAAACACGGAAGAGCTACTCAACGCCTTGGATGGAGCCAAGGTATTCTCCAAGCTGGACTTAACAGCAGCTTACCACCAGGTTCTTTTGTCGCCTGAAAGCCGTGACCTAACTGCTTTCATTACACACGAAGGCCTCTACCGCTACAAGAGAGTGTGCTTTGGCTTGGCATCTGCACCTTCAGCTTTCCAGAAGATGATGCACGACATTTTCGTAGGATGTTCGGGTGTCCTTTGCTATCTCGACGACATTATCATCTTTGGTGCTGACGCAGAGGACCATGCAAAGAACTTGGCAAAAGTTCTGCAGCGCATCTCAGACACTGGCCTGAAGCTAAACGACAAGTGTGTTTTCGGAGTAACAGAATTGACATTCGTAGGACATACTATCACTTCTCAAGGTGTGACTCCTCTACAAGAAAACGTTCAAGCTATTCAAGATGCGCCTATACCAAAGGACCATCATTCCCTGCGCTCCTTTTTAGGACTTGCGGGATATTACGCAAGGTTCCTTCGCAACTACTCGGATGAAGTTGAACCACTAAGAGATCTTCTACGTGGCGAGAAGACATTCGTTTGGACGAACACAGCACAATGGTGCTTCGATAGAATCAAGCTGCTGATTGCCAACTGCAACGCGCTTGCCATGTTCAGTCCAGGATTGCCAGTTCTTGTCACAACGGATGCGTCCGGATACGGTATTGGCGCAGTGCTCCAGCAGGCCAACGGATCCGATCTGCAGACCGTTGCGTTTGCTTCAAGAACACTTTCACCGGCAGAGCGCAAATACTCTGTTGGGGAACGGGAAGCCCTCGCATGCGTTTGGGCACTAGAGCATTGGCACGTGTATCTCTGGGGAAGACCATTCACCCTCTGCACAGACCACCAAGCACTTACCACCCTACTGAGCTCTCAAGGCACGGGTCACCGTCCGCTCAGAATCGCTCGATGGACAGCACGTCTGCTCAACTATAACTTTGTAGTGCACTACAAGAAGGGCGAAGACAACGTCATCGCAGATGCACTTTCCCGACTACCATTACCTGATGCGTCTCCTGACCTGATTGAAGAGGAAGTTATCTCCGTCATAACTGAACAACCCATTTCGAAGAACGACCTGCAGTCTGCTACAGCCGCTGACTCGGTACTTAAAAAAATCAAGCATTTCGTCGTTACAACCTGGCCATCTAAGACCAAGGTAACTACTGAAGTGTTACCCTTCTACCAAGTGAGATCCGAGCTGTCAGAGGTCGATGGAATGCTCCTACGTGGCGAGAGAATCGTAGTTCCAACTGTAATGACTACTAAAATCATCGCCCTGGCTCATGATTCACACTTGGGAATCGTCCGAACCAAGCAACGATTGAGGCAGTGGTACTGGTGGCCAGCCATGGATGCAGCAGCGGAACACGCTGTTCGTGGTTGCCTGACCTGCCAGACAGCTGATAAGTCTGCAAAGACTTTTCCTGCTCCACTACAACCAATACCGCTTCCCGCACGTCCCTGGGAGAAGCTGGGCATCGATATCGTTGGTCCCATCGAAAAAGCACCCCAACGACATCGTTTCGTGGTCACCGTCATGGACTATTACAGTCGCTGGCCTGAAATTGTTTTGGCTAGCACGGTAACCAGCGAAACAGTGACTGCATTCCTGCGGACGCTTTTCAGCCGTGAAGAATATCCGACAGAAATCGTCTCAGACCACGGAAGCCAATTTACATCGGCAGAATTCGAAGAATTTTTACGGGAACGTGGCATTCGACATACATTCTCATCCGTTTACTACCCACAGTCAAATGGTATGATTGAAAGATTTAACCGAGTGCTGAAGGGGTTTATTCAGCTGGCTCTCCTTGAACAACGAAACCTCGAAGAAACACTGACCGAATATGTCGGAGTATACCGTGCAACACCACACTCAACTACGGGTGTGTCGCCCGCATTCCTGTTTCACAATCGGCATCCGCGGACCAAGCTGAATGTCGTCGGATGGCCATCAGAAAGCTTTTTCACGGAACCGACCGGAGCAATGACGGAGCTGAGAGAGCGAATTAGAAGACAGCAGCTTGCTGCTCAAGAGTACGTAGACCAGAAGAGAGGCGCACGTACGCCAGCTTTTCAGCCAGGCGATTTCGTTCGCGTGAAGTTGCCAGGTCATCACGCCAAGGGGAGTTTGAGATACTCCAAGCCACGCAAGATACTGGAGCGTCAAGGATCGAATGCATTCGTGCTCGACGATTACAAGGTGTGGAATGCAAGCAAACTCTCAAAACTACCACAAGAAGTCCTGCCACGACTTACTTCGGGGACAGACAACGGGCTGTCACCTGCCACTTCGTGGAATCCTCCACCAAACACGCCCCAGTCACACGAGTTTTCCCCGGCGGGAAACCGACCGGAATCGAGATCATTGTCAAATGGTACAGACACCCACCGACAAGAACTTCAACTCCAACCTCTTCGCAGGAGTTGCAGACAACGAAAACCTCCGGAAAGACTAGGAAGTTATGTGACATGAACATTGCCATATAGGCACTCGGGTTTTCGTTGACTCGACAACTTTGTTTATTTAGATGCTTCTTTTCTGCTTTGGTTGTTTTAGTATGTGCATTTCCTTTAAAAAACGGGGGAAATGTAGTGTTTAAAGAAAAGAAAGACGAAGCAGAAATGAGATGATAAAGGAAGAAGACGATGAAAAGGCGTACAACTGAATCGGCGTTCCTTCATCTTACATTTAACTACACTACATACACTACACTGCCGCAACTCACTTTCAGTCGTGGAGACGCAATGAGAAAGCGCGGGATCTGTACCGAGGGTTCCTAAAATTCCCTGCCGTCGTGGCGCTGTTCTTATTGCAACAGTCTATTCATTAGGTTCTACGAGCAATATGATTGGCTCTCTCTTGACCTCGTCAGTGCATCTCTGGTGCTTAAATTTCTCCCCCAAGGAAACTTTCCCATAATGTGACGAAAATAGTTCAGATCAGGTAATCTGGTCCATGAGATAAACTGTCCTAACAAAGGAAGTCAAGCTGAGTCCACAATCAACTTCCAAAACTATGAAGTAAGGCATAAGAAGCCATCATGGAACCATTCAGTTAATCTACATTTTTTTGTGTGTCTACCTGTTCTTGTATTTCCTAGTTTGATTACTATATTTTTCTTTTCAGATATGTTGTGCCATCCATCTTCCAGAAAGAACACATCGCAAGGCTTCGCGACAATTAGAACGTTAGACAAATTAATGTCATCTTTAAAATGTGAAATATTTTTCTAAACCCGGCTTCCTTTCATGAAATTATGCCAGCCTCCATCGGAAAGGCAAAAGAAACGACATAGCTTGCGGCTTGATTCAGTCAAAGCGGTTTTGAATATTTTTGCAAATGTATTTTTTTCGGAATTATTATATGTGTGTAAACGGCGCAAGAGAGCGCTTAAGAATACAAATAATGCTGTTGTCGCAATCATTGCTTTGAACGTCGTACCCGAAATAAAGTACTATCGACATTTACTTTGTTGTGGTATCTGATACCATCGCGACCAAGATTGAGATATGGTAAGTTCTGGAGTGATGGACTTCCCAATTCATTATTTCTCAATGACTCACGAATCAATATTCTTCATTGATATGCAATTTTTGGTTATGAGGCGTGGCACGGGTTTTGGATTAATTTTTAGAGCGCAGCTCTTAGGCGCCCGTTTACGGGTTGAGCGGCGTCGCCGTCGGCGTAACCGCGCGGTGCGTTATGGGAAATGTCCCATAATGCACCGCGCGAGCCCCCCGAGGTCACGTGACCCCCCCCAAGTCACGGGACTCCCCTGAGGTCACGTGACCACCCCCCCGATGACGTCATCGTCACTGATGACGTCACCGGCATCCGCATAGTCATCGTCATCATCACTGATGACGTCATCAGTTACGCCACTGATGACGTGACCGGCATCCACATCGTCATCATCACTGATGACGTCATCAGCGACGTCACTGATGACGTCACCGACATTCGCATCGTCATCATCGCTGATAACGTCGGTATCCACATCGTCATCGTCACTAATGACGTCATCAGTGACGTCACTGATGACATCATCGGCATCGTCACGTGACCCCCCCAGGTCACACTTGACCCCCATTACCCTTCTCTCCTCCTCCTCAAGAGCTGCGCTCTAATTTGGCGCTACAGGGAGTTGTAAACGGCTTTCACTTTTTTTTAAATGTAAAATTGTGTAAAATATTTTTACGGAACTTCCTCTCGCCCAATATTTAGGAAGAAAAGCGTGCAGTTGAAGACCTTGCTATGATACCTTACACTTACTTTCTATTTGAATAATTAACTGATTTGTCGAAAACATTTTTCTGCAGTACATGATGTGACTTTGCAAGTGTGTTGAAAGCTCGTGAAAAGTATTAATCTTTAATGTTACGTAGAGTTTAAACAGAAGCTTAAAATGTTAACTTATTTACAAAGCTACAAGGGTGTGGAAAGAGGATAATTACACTTTTTATTCAAGTGCCCAGCTGTTGTTTTTTTCTAAATTTATTTTTAAAACCGACGCATCTGCTAACTAAAAGTGAGCGATCGCTCCGCCCCTATCGCGCGCTTAGCTTATTCAAGGAAGAGGGTTGGTAAGCAAGGATCCGAGGTGATGTCATTAGTGGTATTAGGTTTCTGAACGTAGGCGCCCTTCGTGTTCAACAAACTTTCTAGGAACTGAGGTTTGTGTTGCACTAAACTGAAGCTATCAATCTCGCGCTGCTGGAGTCCATCTTTCTGTGATTAACTGTTTGCTGCGTGAGGCGAAAATACTCAGAATATTTGGCGGCTTGTGCTCCTAGCATCCACACTTTATAGCCTCTACCAATGTTGTAGTAAAATCATCGCGTACCAAAACTTTTAATGCATAAATAACTGCAGCACGTAATCTAGTTAAACACAACGGTAAAATTGCCCCCTTCCAGCTACTTTAGTGTTCTATGCGAGAAACTGTCATACGTGATCGTCACTGTCTCCAAACGTCGAGCCACCATCTGCAAGTTCTGCAAATTTGTTCTTTCTTTCTTTTTTCTGACCCAGGACCACAGCTTTACGTGATTGGTACAAAAACGTATAGCGGATGCAACTTTGTTGTCCCTTTTTCCGGCACATATGACGCTGCAACTTAGCACGTTCTGTACCGGAGATGCAACCGATTTCCCGGGATACCAGCGTTGTCTTCACAATGTCCTGGACCAGTCACAGTCGGAACCGAAGTTCGGCTACGAAAAACCAATCACTGTCGAGCCTCGTGGCCACGCTTTTATCCAGGCTTCATGAGATGCCGAACACCCAGCCAAATGACGTTTTAGAGCGCAGCTCTTAGGGGCCCGTTTCCGGCTTGAGCGGCGTCGCCGTCGCCGTCGGCGTCGGCGTAACCGCGCGGTGCATCATGGGAAATGTCCCATAATGCACCGCGCGAGCCCCCCACCAAGGTCACGTGACCTCGTGGGGGGTCACGTGACCCCCCGAAGTCACGTGGCCCCCTCCTCGAGGTCACGTGACCCCCGCCGATGTCGCGTGACCCCCCGATGACGTCATCGTCACTGATGACGTCACCGGCATCCACATCGTCATCGTCATCATCACTGATGACGTCACCGGCATCCACATCGTCATCGTCATCATCACTGATGACGTCACCGGCATCGTCATCGTCATCACTGATGACGTCACCGGCATCCGCATCGTCATCGTCATCATCACTGATGACGTCACCGGCATCCACATCGTCATCGTCATCATCACTGATGACGTCACCGGCATCCACATCGTCATCGTCATCATCACTGATGACGTCACCGGCATCCGCATCGTCATCGTCATCATCACTGATGACGTCACCGGCATCCGCATCGTCATCGTCATCATCACTGATGACGTCACCGGCATCCACATCGTCATCGTCATCATCACTGATGACGTCACCGGCATCCACATCGTCATCGTCATCATCACTGATGACGTCACCGACATCCGCATTGTCATCGTCATCATCACTGATGACGTCATCAGTGACGTCACTGATGTCGTCACCGGCATCCGCATCGTCATCGTCATCATCACTGATGACGTCATCAGCGACGTCACTGATGACGTCACCGACATTCGCATCGTCATCGTCATCATCACTGGTGAAGTCATCAGTGACGTCACTAATGACGTCATCGGTACCCGCATCGTCATCGTCACTGATGACGTCATCAGTGACGTCAGTGATGACATCATCGGCATTGGGGGTCACGTGACCCCCAAGGTAACGTGACCCCCCCTGGTTAGTTTAACCCCCCCCCCCAGTGCCCTTCCCTCCTCCTCCTCAAGAGCTGCGCTCTAATTCGGCGTTACAGGGAGTTGTAAGCGGCTTTCATTTTTTTTTACGTTAAAAGGTTCGTCATCCTCGTTTGGCCACCTCGGACCGGTGGGACACGGTGGCCGTCATCGCGGGGTCGAGATTATAATAATAATAAATCTTTATTTTGTTTCGTCACTGCAACGGGGGACCAAGACAAAAAGCTGCCGCAGCAGCTTGGCGGAGGTCCTCGCCGGCCCCCTTTACAGCAGGCGATTCCTAAGCAATTAAAAAAAAAGAAAACGAGCAAAATAGTTACATTAAGAGAAAGCACACTATTTTACATGTACAGACAAGAGATCAAACAAAAACAAGAGAAAAAAATGGAATTAATATATTCTTTGTGGTATGCAATGGTACAGTGACCCGTATGCCTTAGCCGTACCTAAAAAAACAACCATAAAACAATGATCGTACCTCCGCCAGCGTCATTGCATGAATATCAACACCTTTTAAAAATATTTTGTTTAATAAAGTAGTTGTTAATAGACCGATCTTACTGAGCGTTCGGCGCATGCGTGACGCCGCCATAACTTTAGTTCACGGGAGGCAGACTGCCGTGCATGCAAGGTCTCGTGCCGTCTTGTGCTCCGCACGCGCAAAGCTCCAGCAATGCTGTTTTGCGTGCAGAAATATTTTAGTTCCCTCGATGCATTGCGGCAGCGGTGGCGTAGTCAAATTGGCTGGTGAGATCGGTCTATTAGTAATTTAGCGTGTGGTTATAGTATAATGTATGTGATGGTGAAACAAACCATTTTTTTAGGGCGGAGTTGATATGAGGAAGTGAAAAGTACAATGTTGCATAATTCCTCAAAATCTTTATTTTTAAACTGCGTAGACTTCTTGTACGAAACAAGAAGTCGCGACAGGAAGAATTCCAGCTGGTGTATTTCAATAAATGCAATGAACTGCAGTATCGCTTTGAAAGTCCTTACCTTGTTTGTTGTTGCTTTGGTTTAGTTAGAGAAGAAACCTCTGACGACAGGCATCGTACAACTAAATCTAAAATGAGGTGTTTCCCTTCAAGAGCTCTGAGAACAAACATCAAATACCGTCAGACATGCACTTCGTGAACTAAATGACAATACCCGTAAGAGAGTATGATGACATATGAACTCGCGAGCTCGATGGTATTCTTCACGCACGCCGTCGTGTTCTATTCTAAATGGGTGTTTTATTGAAACAGACAAGTTCAACAGGACGCGTAATCACTAAACCGCTATCGCATTAGCGACAATATCCAGCCTCTGTCCTTTCGTAGTTAACAAACTGCGGGGACTTCGGTGAATCACTTGTAGCCGAAACTTTTCTCTTTAAAGTGAAACCACGGCCGTCTTTCTGGATCACCTTGAGATGTGGCTTGCACCGCTGCGCCAAGCTCGTCCTGCGCTCAATCCGCCATGTTCAAAGGCTTTGGGTCTTGTTCGTTCACTGTAGTCAGGTGCCGCAAATCCTAATCCAGTTCAACTATTTGCTTCTTTAGGGACAAATTGGTTGCCTTGAAGCGACCCCCTAAACCTCAATTTTCTCGAAGTCGTAAAGGATTCGCGCGCGCATGCGCAGTTGTGTTTGCGAGTTTGTCCGGGACAAACAGTTCACGTCAAAATGACTCTCTAAAACTCCATAATATGTGTAGATTTTTCAAAAATAAGAACTGTTTAATTTCGTTTACTTCTGCAATATTTTGTCGCCATATTCAATTTTACTCTAAACAAGAACTAAAATTTCTTTTAACAAAAAAAATTATCAATATGTTTTCGAATATTAGCTTTAATGTTTGTCGTAATACAATTTAGAATTTCAGGGTGTCGATAGAAAAACATGTTAAGTGCTATTCCAACATGCAATGTATTTTATAAAGCAACAAAATAAAACATGCAGGCCTGTAAAACAGATTTAGTTTTTTTTTATATTCACTTCGTTCATAATATTCAGTGTTTTTTGCGATAATAATAAAATATCCATTAAAATAGAGATTGAGACAGCAAGAGTTGGGGAAATCGAAGGTAGATCGAACACAGCAGAGGTTTGCAGTGAACGAACAACGCACAAGGTCAGCAAAAGGCTGTATTTCCTGAAAGCATGGTATACATACCAATCAATGTCATATATCCCGGGAGTATATGTCAGTAACAATAAACATTGAGTTGTTTTATTATATAAGTGCACGTCTCATACCTAGGTAAACTCATTGTGGACTAATGGCAGTATTCCATCGAACAGACTGTAGAGCGGACACGTATGGCTTATAATCTACGGCACGTGTTCCGCCGGTATTGAACAGAAAGCAATATCTAGTAAAGAGGACAGTCAGTAAACCGTGGTCTGATAAAGTATACGGTAATTCTGGGGGATCTATTGCAGAATTTTAAAATCGCATCTGTTAAAAATCTAGTCTAACCTTAAACTCCGTTCCATCAGTTTACTATTATCCTTTCATTCCTTGCTACTGCCAGCCTTTGCGACTATGAATGTCACCTGCCATTTCTTGTTGTCCCGCATTTTGCTCGTGGGTAACCAAAAGACGTTCTTTTCGCGCCCGTGTCGGATCTCGAATTCTATAATGCCGTCGTCGCTGCTGTCCCCGCTGCTACTGGGGCTGTCGCTGGCGTTGCTTACGACGTCCGGAGAACTGCCCGTTTCCGAAACATTGTCTGGTTTCAGTTGGACGCAGTTGACAACAATGTCCCTTTGCGCCGCCTCCAGGAACTCGCTCATCCGCACTGTGCGAGTGATTGCTTCGACGTCGTCGTCAGTTGTGACCACTGGTGACGGCTTCAGTTGCATCGTGACAACGTCATGAGGAAGCACGCTCTTTCTCAGACTCCTGCTTACCTTCTCGAGGAGGGCATCCTTCACGCGCTCGTCGGGAAGAATGCCATCACCTTCGTGACCCGAGTCAGTTTCACTGGAATCCCCATCTCTCAGTTGAACTTCTCGCGCGAGTTCTTCCGTGGCGTCTGCGGATATCCTGCTGGCAGTTCTGGTCGCCGCTGACCTGCGTCCGGTCTTGCTGCTTTTCCGGGATTTTATCCAGTCTTTGAAACGTACAGCCTGCTCTCCAAGCGACTCCCGGACGCTGGACTTCTGCCGGGCGGATGAGGAGTCTTCCTTGGAGGTGTCCACCCGGCTGGGATCGTGAGGAACCCAGAAAGGCAGCAACGCCGAACTTTTTTTTGGAGCTGCATTTCTAGCTTTCGAGAAGCGACGTCTTGGCGTTTCCTTCGCGTCTTCAATCTTCGGCTCCGTCGAAGAAATCTGAACACTTTGAGTGAAAACGCTTTGAGATTTGGCGCCTGTAGATTCCGAGGTGGTAGTCTTATGCGACTTCGTGGCCGTTGAGAGCTTCGGTTTACTATCGTCGTGGGGCTTTGGTACGCTTAGCCGTCCCTCGTGTTTCTTGAGGAACGGAAACGTAGATTTGGCCTCCGCAGTTTGAGATGACGCTTCAGGGCTCCTGTATGAGGTCTGCTCCGGCTTCTGGTTGGACGCTGTTGACTTCGATGGTGTTGCACCCTTTCTGGCTTCTCGTTTTGGTGTGGCTTTGGAACGCCTCGTTGGAGTTTCCTGGTAGCTTTGCTTCGTCTCTTCTCGCGTCGTTGATCTAGAGCGTTCCTTTTTCTCCATGCTCTCGAGCTCTTCCGAACCACCAAGTTCAAAGGAAACTTTATACTCGAAATCTTCTTCTGAAATTTTCTTAAGGTCAATCACTGAACTGTGTTTCACTTGTCTCTGTTCAGACACAGAGACCGTCTTCATGGACTTCTCTACCTTTTTCCGTTGTGTCTCTTCCTCGAGCTGTTTCTTAATCCGCTCTACTCTCAGCCGCGAAGCCTGGTTGCTGGAGACCCCAGCAGTGCTTGTTGAAGCATCTTTACTGCGAAATCTTTGTTTTAAAGGCTTGCTTGAAGATTCTTCCTCAGCTTCGGTAAGCTTGACTCTTTCTGCCGGCCGTTGTGGAAAGACCCGTGACTTGATGTGACTGTAGTTTGTTGATCGTGTCGTGGGAATGTTTGGGGCACCTCTTACCACCGTGAATACACTAGTCAGTGGGCTGGGCAAGATGGCTGGTAACAGGTTTTTTTTCGAAGCAGGATGTTGGTAGACAGGGCGCATCTGTGTCTCTGAGCTTTGTGGCGCTGATGCTCCCATCTCTGCTTGCTGCCTGTGCCTATGACTATCAGGGTCCTGTTCTGATCCTAGAGAGACACGGAAAGGTGAGGACACTTCAGTTGTCTGGAATGAGATGTAGACTAACGTGAACAGAGTGATTCAGGCTTGACTTAAAATAGTGCAGGTTTCTAAGGCGATAGTAATCGTTAATAATACGTAAACAGAAAATATTCAAGGAGGACAGAAAAATTGATTACCAATTCACAAATGGCTTGCGTGTATAAGTGTGATACTAATTTTCAGGTTTATTCTTTATGAAAACGCAAAAACACGTGTAATCCCAAGCCTCACCTCTTTGGTCTTTAACTTGAACAACGTACGAAGGTTTGTCAAAAAAATTAGTAGAATATCCTGAGAGAATTAGAGTGGCAGCCGGTGTTATGCCAAAAATAGAACATTCAGAGAAGCTTCCTAGTAGAAGACTCGTAGAAACTTCGCTGAAGCAGCCTCCAGAGGAACTTCGACAAGCTGAACGTTCAGTTAAGAGCTTTCTTTTTTAGAAAATATTTCAGCTGAGTAAGCTTCTTGAAGAACCTCCGCTATTCGGTCGGTATTTTTAGTACTTTACCTGTTGCGGGAACTCAGGGCCCGACCTCAAGTGACGCCGTGAAGGTTAGTTTAGAAAATTTGGTCTCAGCGTGATTGACTGCGTAGCAGCCGCTTCTAGCAGCTTACGACGACACAACACACAGACACATTGGCGCCATCTATCGTGTAGCCTAGCAACACTTCCGATTGACGTATGACCAGATTAAAGGTTTTACCGTATCTCCAAGATCAAATCTACGCACTGTCTATGCGAAATAGCCTCTTTTAAGATTCCGAGAATTATTTCAAGCACACGGTGAAACCAAGCGAAACATGTACGCATATCTTAAGTGTCCTAGGTATGCTCGTCAGATGGCGCCAGTATGCTTTCTTGTCTTAGCCATAAGCGGTCGGAACGCTGTTGATTAACTCAAAAAGCCAATGCGTGAACCAGGCTTAAGGGTCGTGTTTTTCAAGTGTAACAAGGCGGTATGTTGGGCTAGTTGGTGATCGTTAAACATAAACATGAACAGTGCGTGCTTGTCCTGTGTTTATTCCATGTGTCCTGCCCCTTTGACCGATGTTTATCATTATATTTAAAGTGGAAATTTGAGAAACCTGGTGGTAGCTAAAACGGGGTTTAGTGCGGCAGGCCCACTTTACCTGGTGCCAAGGCGCGCGCTTCCACAGCATGACGGCGCTTGTAGCTCTCGCTTGCGCACTCCAGGGCATTGTCAGAGCCTCTTCGTTCCTCTCTGTCTCCTTCTTTCTGCTAACCAAATGGAACAATATTAAGATTTGGCTTCATAAGAGACCGGTGTGAATAAGTCGCTAAATTTTATTAATTTGTGGCAAGTACCAAAACGTGTCGATTGAACACTGGAAAAAAGTTGCAAACCGGCTGAATCCCAAAACTCGTGAAGGTAATGTCCTCTGATAGTTTTAATATGTATGAGCAGGGTGTTTTACCAACGACTGAAGTTAATTTAATAAAAATCACTTGAAAGACCACATTTATTATTTCGCTATAAATTTTATAGACCGTTATCTACTGACTGGCTCAACGGCGCTTATCAGTTTGTGGCCATCTGAGGAGCTTATGCATCGAGCGCTCGGGCGCTGGGTGCGCCAGCAGACGAACGCGGGGCCCAGATCCGATTAGATTTACTTCCCAGTGACCTCCTGTTTATCACCCAGCTGTAACACAGACCACGGCAGACGTCAGGTTATCAGTATAAAGTGATAACTAGCAAATAATATAATTATAACTTTCAATTTAAATATTAACTTTTGAAGTATTTGCCTGAGCTTGCATATTTAAATCAGAGATTAGCTGCTCCACGTCACAATGTGATATAGCTGATGTTAAATTTAAAGGCAACCACGGGCTGCTCCGCGCTATTTGCTGGGAAATGTACCCCGTGAGGCGCCTGGGCTAGCGAAACTAAAACGCAAGAGACTGACGGAGGTCCCACTTGGAAGCGACGTCGCCCTTTGCAGTGGGAACAGATAGCGAGTCATCGCGAACCGATCCGCAATGATCGTGAAGATAAATTAGAAGGGACTTAAGAAAGGTGCAGACAAGCGTCTTGTCTGTAACTTTTCTTCTGTCCCTTCTATTTTATCTTCTTGTATGCCAGCTTTCTTCTGTCCCTTCTAATTTATCTTCAAGTTCCCTTCCCAGTGTAAGGGTTTAAGCATCGTAATAAATATGGACCAGTTCGCCTGCACTTTGACCATTTTTTCGATCTGAGAGCATTCCGTTCCAGCACTTGTCACCCAGGAAAAAATGCCGAATTACCGGTCTGTGAACTTATGCGCTACAACTTATATTCGGCAAAAAAGAGCTACCACACGCGCTCAGAACGCGTTTCACGGCCCTGTGAACAAAGATGGCAGCGCATAGAAAACAGAATTATTGGAACGGGCCCCTTTTCCCCCCAAAGCCTGTAGACAAGCCAAATTCTCCACTGCGGAGAGGAATTTAATTTTCGTACTTCTAACAACCGCTATAGCGTATTTGAACAGCGGGCAGTAACTATCGAATTCGGATATGCCAGATAAAGGGGACATTTGAAGAATACAAGATTGTTAGAGGACTTGAGATCTCTAGTCATCACTTTACGTTCACACCCTGTCGTCTTACGCGATTTACAACGTTATCCCAAGTAATATTATATATATATATACACATATATAACGGGCATGGTGGCGCGAGGCTGAAGGCGTGGGTATATAACTGAGAAGAGAAAACCCTCGGTGAAAACAGCAACAACGGACGATTTCTTCTTCGGCGTCTCGGCCGGACTCCGGCCGAAACGTTGAAGAATAAATGTCCGTTGATGCTGTTTTCACCAAGGGATTTTTCTTCTCAGTTTATATATATATATATATATATATATATATATATATATATATATATATATATATATATATATATATATATATATATATAGTTTTCTATCTCGAGTCTTTTTAATTATTTCCTGCCATTGATGCAACATGGATTTGCGATATTAGTAAGTTTAGTCTTAGGGATCCGCGTATTAATATTGAGCAATTATTGTAGTACCTACTCTTATTCTAATATTAATGACTGATAGTACTAAATATGTGTTTTATATCAAATTCCTTCATTCTGCAGCGGAATATAGTGAAAAAAAGAGCTTGTTGAGCCGTCAAGCGCGGATTTTTGTTTCGGTCCCTACCCGATCTCATAAAAAAATGAACGAATAAACTCTTATTATCAATATTATTTCACACGAATCCTAGCAAAAAAGAACATTTTTTTATAATAGTAGAGTCAAGCAACTCATATCGAAGTTGTCAGGCGTCTTTCGAATAGAATTCTAGTAGGTAATACAACAATCTGTGAAGATCCTTAATCCTGCTGTACTCGTATTTGTCTTTTTCATAAAATCGACCACCATATTCCTCAGCTTAAATCACAGCTAATCAGTCTTCCTTACTTTGTTTCAGCACGCCCTGATCAACGTCCTAAAGTCGGTGTCACATTTTGCCCCTCTGACGTTTATCTTGACTCATTTATTTTCAGAATTTTCAAAGACTGGAACCGCTTACCCGCATCACTCACATCAGTTAGTGACCATGCACTTTTTTGTACACCTATTGCCAATGTCATGTTCCCTGTTATTTAAGTATTGTATATTTTGTTCCATTTGTATTATTATCACTATTTTTCCAACTCCCCTCTGTAATGCCTTGTGCCCTGAGGGCAGACATGTACAAATTACTCAAAAAAGGTAGTTAAGTTAAGTTACTGAGTATCGACGCCAAAAGTAATTGGAGTAGAGTAGAAATTACGTATTTGTAATAGTAATTGAGTAAACTACTAACTACTGTAAAAAGTAGCGAGTTACTTTGAAGTTACTTTCGAAGTTACTTTTTTATATTTTTGTGGTAGCAAAATGAACAGCAGTTTTGATCAATGAAAAACCCTGCGAGCCTAAAATAAATGCAGTCTATCTATGGCTTGCGTTTTCGCCAAAATAGTTTATTCGCTCGCAGAAGCAATTGACTTTCAAAGTTCTTGATTGGAGAGTTTTCCCCTTTTCCTTCTAAGGACGTCCCCAGCCAAGCTAAATAGACGTTCCACCGACGGGCTGGATGGAACGGCAGCGTTGAATTTGAGAAACAGGCTGTGCAGGGTCGGGTAAGCGATTGTCGGCATCTTAGGTGTCCATGACTAAACATGTGAGGTTTGCCTCGGCTAGGAGGATCTTTTGTAACAAACTTTCCTCCTTTTTTCTTTTTTCTTCGTCAAGTTGAGATTGTTATGACTGGCCCCTCTTTATTCCGACGTCGTTCTGAGAGTACGCTGAGCGAGTGCACCAGACCGTCAAGGATTCAAGTCTCGCGCCACGACGATGAGATCATCCGGATGACTGCGCGTCCCGTTGTAGTGCTAGTGCTACGCTACTGAAAAAAAATTGTTTCGGCTTAACAGATGATGAACCAAAGTACACTTCACCGCTGACGCCAGGTCCAACAAAAATGATCTCCCAAGGGTAACTCGCAATCCTCCCCGGCGACTACAATATTCTGATGCGGCTGACACGCCTGACAAGTAAATCGTTTTTAACAAAAGAGGAGGTCTCCCAGGCATGGATGGTCGGAAGGACGCGAAGGATTACGTGAACAAGCATCGTCGCTCGTATACAGTTGCAGCTGGAAGCGGGAACGTGCTCCCATGAACGGATTATCCGTGCCAGGGTTTGTGCGCGGGGGAGTCCGGATTTGCAAAGGCGTATGCGCTGACGACAAGGCGACCATGGGAACAGGAGCCCGGCCTCGAGGTCATTCCAGTGGCGCCTCCCGTGGAACCTGCCGCTTGAGTCAGAACTCACAAAAGACAGACAACACGAAAACAATAACAACTCTCGGAGTGTCCCCGTCTTTCATGGTTGCAGCTGGAAACACGGCGCCTGCGTGCATTACCGGATTAGGTCAATACCCGACCAAGGCTCGTTAAGCATCTCTTCCTGCGTTCGTGCGTGCCGGTGTTATGTTTTGGCTGCTCATCGCCACCTTGGCCCAAGGACGCCTTCCCGAAAAAGGGGGCCCCTTGTTCGGGAATGCCACTTTATCTGCCGGCGTCTTGTTCATTTCTGCGCTCAAACTTTCGTGAGAGGCAAAATTAGCACTATATAATTTCGAAAGTAGTTAGTAATTTGAGTAGAAGTTACCTGAAAAAAGTAGTTAAATTAAACTACTAATTACCCAAATCAAGTTGTAATTGAAAGTTACCAAGTTACTCGAAAAAGTAGTTAAACTACAGTAGTTTGAGTAGAGTAGCTGAACTACGTCCAAGTCTGCCTGAGGGTAAAATAAATAAATAAATAAAAACTCCATTTTTTGGTTATGATCAATCTTCGGTGAGCTTTAAAAAAAAAATGGCCTCGATATTTTCTAGCCATTTTTTCAACCCCAATGCGTTCGCGGGCTCCGCAGCCTACCAATTTCCTTATCTAAAAGTCAATTTGAAATGTGCCATCAGATGTCAGATGCAGTTCAGTGAAGCTGGGGCATGTCATGACAACTGCTAAAGCGACATTTCGCGAACCGAAAGCCGACCACGATGCCTGGTTCTTTTTGCGGGTAGATTTCCCCGCAAACACCTTGCTGTTTTATCGATGCACCCTTTTCCGAGTTCCGGGTTTGAGCAGAGTACACAACGCCCGTGTTGCCAGACCGGATTCGGCTGGGGGAAAACAAGACTGCCATTTGCTCGACGCGAACGGCGATGTGTGATTCCAGGTGTGCTCGAACGATGCTTATCCACTGGTTGCCTTTGAATGTCGCAGTTGGCTGCGGCCGGGGAAGGGGACGAGTATTTTTCGGTTTCCTTCGGAGAAAATTGACCTTAAAGGGCAACTCCACTGCATTCTTACAATTTTTGGGTTATGATCTATTTAGTCGAAGTCGGCGACCTTGAATCACGAGATATAATTTGTTTTTCGGTAGTGTGTATAGTTTTGTAGATATCGAGAATCCAAGTATTGTTACGGCGGCACGGCGAAACCGAAACTACCGGCTGAAGCAGCCTGGCAATGTTGATACTAGTGGCGCGTCGTGGGCATGACCTAGTTTTGGTCCCGCGCTCCCGAGCCGACGCACCGACAATGTCGGCTCCGTCGCACGTGGAGTTTCAAAACAGAAGGTAAGTGGCAAATTTTCTTTTTTACCGCTTCACTTTGTTAATATGCACCAAATGTAGTAAGATTTAGTGTGCATTTATAACTTTGCCGG